ACTAATCTGGTTTACAGAAATGTGGCAACTCTTAATATTTGAGATAAATAAGTTGTGTTACTGTATGTAAGTTATTTGGCCGTATATTCTCTCTTTGCCACTCTTCACCCCTGCTTTCCACTGGGTGAGCCGTTTGCATCATATGCCACTGTGACTGAAACAGCTGTTTATAGTTATAGACAAGTAATGTGAAGTAATGATTACTAACCACGCCCTTTCTATTTATATTGCACTTTACCCAACCCAGATATAGGCTGCTGTGCCTATATAGTAATATCAAGTGCACATGGATATGTCCTCATGGTCCTTGCACAATTGACCTAGCACTTCTGCATTGTTAAAATGGAATTCTTGCTGTTCTTGAATGTTTTCGAAATTTGAACTTCAAAAGTGGGCTCGGGCTAATGCACTCTCAAGATATAAATGGGCTGTCCCTTATAATATCTGTAATGCACCATTCACCCAGTATCAACAAAAAACCCAACATCAAATATAGTAATATCCTTGAATGAGGCCTCTAATAGAGATCAGTTACACGTCTGTCCTCAGAACTCCCAAATCAGAACAGTCTGCGACTGCCAGCATCTGCTTTAGACCCAAATGACAATTTACAAATTATTTGACTTTTTCTATGCAAAGGAAAAGCTTCCCTGCTGGGCAAAGTAACACACACTGTGGTCCTATTTGATACTAATAAGAACCACATTGGGTCTGCAATGACTACAATGTAGTGGTTTTGTTCTGAGATGTGCTCACATACTTCCTTTGCCTGTTGGTGGTCATAGACAACTGGTAAATGTTCTGTGATATTCTTGCATCTTGCTGGTCTTCCCTCATGTTCTCTGTATGTATGCATGCTAACTTATAATGGATGATAAGATGGACTCTACATACGTAATAAGAACCGCAGTGACAAGTTCAACTTTACACAAATCTATCATATTTTCACACATACTATGCAAACACATGATCATCTACAAGTAAAAGCGCATAAACCTTTAAATTGGCACACTGAAGTAAACATCTTTTACTATAATTTGTCAGATTTCCAGTATACTGGAAATATATAATATATAATAAAGTATGCCTGGTGACAAATACTGCTTAAACAAGAACACTGCATGTGCAAATATCTACCACTCTACATCAAATCGAAAGTCTCAACAGCAACGAGTGGTGATTATTAGGACCACTTCATCAGCTGTCATTGCGTGGCATGAATGCACACTGTGAAATGGCCCGTCTAGACCTGACGTCATGTCACTGTCCAGACATATACACACTCACATTCACACACACTCAAACACGCACTTAATAGATTCCTCCCTGTGTCCCCGGAGTTGCCCTTCCCACCTAATCCCCATACCTGGCACCAGCTGGGTAGCAAATGCTTGCCAGACTAAAGATCACCAGATGCAAAATTCTCAATGTCAACCCACTGAAAGCACTTTCTTACACTTCATTCAGAGTACAAAGGGCTTTCATTTAACAATGTTGATGCCCAGTTTTGCTGCAGAGATGCTGCCACTGATGAAATGAATAGCGTATCCATCTCTTCATGTGGGCAATCTTAGAATAAAAATGCACAAGTCTCCCTGGGTATCCATTTGATTTCTAATGAAATGTTCAGATTACTTCTAAGTAAGTAATACAAGGTGTCATACAGGGGATATTGCTTCATTGTGCCAGTCTCATATTCTGATAAATGGCTTGATAGAGGACAAGATGATTTTTCACCTTCTTCAACGACGTCTACATATCTCCTACCTTCCATATTTCTAAACCAAGGTTGGATTATTTTATGTGCATTGGTGATATGTGACACTGCAGCGTGATGAATGATTTTCTCTTTTTTTGAGCAGAGGACAGGCTCTGTAGTGAGAGACCACACAGTTTGTCTTTAAGCGTGCACATATGTCTGATTTTTACAAATAGTCTGCTGTTCAGCTGTGGAAACGGATTTTGATTTTATTTATTTATTTATTTCAGTTAAAGCTTCAATTGGACTTGGGATGGTTGGATTTCATTATTTTGTTCTTTTATCCTGTCACTCTGCTGTCATAGCCGTACTATGCCCGTGGGATTTTTTGTCATACACATGCACACATGTAGAAACAAGTTAGTTTTTCCAGAAAAAAAATCTGTATTAACCTGGTTTTTCTTAATCATTTACTCCTATTAAGGGAACAGGGGTTCTCACTTGCATTATGTTTTTTAAAAATCAGGACACTGCAGTAACTAGGTTATTTACAAGGATGCAAAAGCACAATCCAGAGGCAATGGTAAAGAGAAAGAATGGGAGGCAGAGAGGAGAGGAAGAAAACAAAAACGGAAACCAGAGGTGAAGATGAGAGAGAAAACAAATGAAAACGAGAGTAGGGACCTCAATGACAAATGCATGAGTAAGATAAACATATAGTCAGGTTTGAATCATTACAGGCAACATACCATCAGGGTTGCCTGTACATAAGCTGCTTTGTGCCTCTGGTTTAAAGGACAGCTTGCGCTTATGACAATCTGCCCCAAAGCACTCAAGGCAGGGACAGTTAAAAATGCACTACCAGGCTTAGCAACAAATAAAGTTACAGTTGTGTGCAACTATACTTACATGAGTTCATGGGCTGCAACATTTTATTGATAGAGAGGAGAACTGGCTCCTAAACTAACTCCAAGTGCCATGTTAGGGTCAGTCTCTGCTCTTTGTTGTATGCAAGATTTCTCTGTGTGCCAAAGGTGTTGACCTTAACACTTGCTTGTTTCCCATATGCCTTTTTCCTGTTCGACTTTAACCACTTGTGTCTCCCAGATGAAATGGGTTGAGCAATAATCAGGCTTACCCTGCCAAGCAAACAGCAAGGATAGAATAACTGCATATAAAAAGCGTGAAGGCTTGGGCTTTTATGAGGGAGGATTTCATGTGTTTTAACTGCTCTACTTACTCTACCAAAAAGAACAAATAGTCACAAATAGTTAATGTATCAGCGCTTGTGCCTTTAATGTTTTGTTCAATCTCCGGCACTTAAAGGTGACCTGCATATGCAAGACTTGCTTTACATTTCTTACTGTAAAGGGAGAATACCTCATTGACATTCAATGGGCTTTCCAGTGGGAGAGGAAGGAAATACATGGGAAGTGCTTCACTTCTTCACGCTTCTCAACAAGCGCTTGTCTTAGTCAAGGCTGAGTGAAGAGAACAAGCCACAAAGGTATTGTGTAAAACAAGTTTTTTCGGGTCAGGAATACTGATGTCTGTGCGTCACATCTTGTGTCATTTTTCTGCATCATTGATGCAGTGCAAAATAACATAAAACTAAACCAGGCATGTTTGCTTGTTTTAAAGCCATAGGGAAAGGGGAGGAAAGAAGAATACTGACACAAATGGGAAGCATTGAGTAAGTTACAAACAGTTCGGAAAAGGGCTGCTTTAATCAGAAAATGATCTGAAAAATCCATTACACAAACTGACCAGTGGAACATTATGCAAGAGCACCAACTCTCCCGACTCCACATTTACGTCATATACATTTGGAACTGGAACAGTCTGCCTTCACTTGGCCAAACAACTGGGTTTCATGTCAACATTTCACCTCGGTCAGAAACCTAAATCCAATACTGCGCTCCAAATAAAAAGTAGTCAGCAGCGTCAGAACATCATGTGCTTGTTTTTACCCTCTCCAACCCATCTATAACGGATGGCACCATAAATCGCTCAAATTCTTGTGCTCTGTGTATTTACAAGAAAAGGGAGTAAAGGTCCATGCAGGGGGGCAAAGAGACAAAGAGAACAGATTTCATCATCCTTTGCTGTGGTGGCAACCTATACTAACGTATCTAAATCAAACGTGTCATCCGTGGGACAGGTGTTTTTCCAACCACAATACTGTCCCACCAGACTGGCTTTGAACCAATCCAGAAAAACCTCTTTTGAAAACCCCCTAATGCGCTCTGTCCAAATTTGGTAGCACCCTCGTTGGTGGTCCCCCTGGTGCCTCTGTGTGTGTGTCTGTGCGTGTATGTTTTTCATCTTTTCAGAAGGCTAAGTTGGGTGAGCCTTCAAAACATGTACTGCACCTGTCATGTGCCTATAGAGCGCAGAAAACAACATAAATTATTAAACTCTCAACAAAACCAGGAATTTTCTTGTGTCACTACGTTGCTTGTAGGAGAAGGGATAGTCCTGATTTCTCTTTCTCTTGAGGCTCCCTTTAAGGACTGGAAGCCTCCCATTGCATTTGTTTCATTTACGCATCTCCACCTCAAGAACCCTCATCTGTGCTTATTAAACGGCTTCCTCGAGTGCTGCCCATTTCCAGGAATAACAGGGAGCAGATTGTACAGCCACTTCAAAAAACACTAACAGGCCTGACGTCTGTATACAAATGATAGTCTGTGACTGAAAGGTGTGATGCTGCGGGAGGTAAAAACAAACATGCTTTTACATCTTTGGCGTACACAGTTATCTGTGTAAACAGTTATGGTTGAGAGATGATACCAGAACAGGTTTTATTATGTAAAAGGAAAACATTTTAAAAAAAAAATTTAAACAAGACAAATCTGCACATTTGTATAGTACGGTAAATTATTAAAGTTTTTTTTTTGTTTTTTTTATTTTATAATGTAAAATTAAATCATTAAAAAAAGAATTCAATATCTTAATATCTTAAGCTGCAAAGAAACGGCAAATCACTATTCTCTATTTGCAATTGCTTTTAAATATATATTCCACTTCATATCTAAAATCTACATTTTCACAAGGAATTTAAAATCCAAAACCACATTCAGATAGCTACATGGCTAGTTAGTTAGTTAGTTAGTGGGGGCTGCAGCCAGTAAACTAAGCTAAAATCCGGGTTGGCCCACAAGAAAATGTCAAACTATCCATTTCACCTTACACAGTTTCACTGACAGATTCACACTGTGGGTTTCATGTGACAAAGGGGGAAATTGTCAAATTAAATTCTGAACGCTTTACAGGCTGAGGCTTGGCATGCATTTCTTACCTCCCAGTTCTTTTACATTCAAGATTGCATTTGGAAATGGCACTGCTTTGATGCTGAAACCTGAGAGGAGAGAAATGAAAATTATTGTAATGAAGTAGTCAAGAAATTGTGTGTGTGTGTGTGTGTGTGTGTGTGTGTGTGTGTGTGTGTGTGTGTGTGTGTGTGTGTGTGTGTGTGTGTGTGAATATGTGTTGATGGCATATGGTAGGAGTGATGAGAGTCACCTTTTAGGAATGTTGGCTGGATTGCCTTTCAATAGTGAGAAAATGGCTGAGATCAGTTAGTTTCCTCGGGATATTTGGTGTACCTTTTCCAAACCACCAGCTGGTGAACACAAAGAGGCCTGACAACATATTTGTATTGTAAAAACGAAAGAAAATAACACTTTGTGTGGTCCGGGTTAGCAAAACAGAAAAACAAGAGAAGCTAAACAGAGAAGTGTTTTGTTCTATATTGTAGTTAGTAGAGGATAGAACTAATGTCTGAAGTGCCACCAAGTATTATGCGGTTTGTTTCTGCGGTTGCATATAGTGGGAAAGAGTAAGATTTAATGTTGCTCAAATTATCCTAAATTGTCTTGGTGGGAATTCCTTTCCTGGAAACATTCACAAACAGGAGGCGAGATGGGAGAGACAACCGATTATGATTTTCTAAATATCTGAATTAACTGCTAAATGTGGTTTTTAAGTACACTGCAACAGTGTAAAAAATCATGAAGTAAGAAGTGGGAGGGGGGGGAGACACACGGGAGACTTCCCCAGTAATTGTTCTAATTGTTCCCCACGATCTTCCCTCTGTAGATGTTGGCAGAGACGCAGACAGCGCTGACAGCTGAATCATAATAATTTTCCGCTAAGGTAGGTAATCGACATATTTTATCTATTAAGGCCCACTCAGTGGCAGACACAGTCAGGCGTTCACTCCCTTGAACCACCCCCCTGCCACAGAGATATACACACTAACAGTCACAGGCCGCACATTTGGGAATTACTTTATATTTAGCTTCTACTGGTGAAAGTGCACAATGACTAAATCTAAAATGGGACTGGAACAAGTCAAAGCGGACTCCTGACAAAGCCAGGGGAGGAAAGAGGAATGTCAGTGTCCTTGAGGGATTGCATTGCGTATATAGAAAGCAGAGCGTTGACGACCAAGAGAATGATGTACTAACCCTAAAGCCTCTTGAAACTGAGTATTGGCTGGTGAGATACAGCAGAGTGTTTCTTGCATGAGCGCTGGGACTTTGGAAGACGCACTGAAGACAGGCTTCACCCTATTGGAGAGCTGCAATACCTGGATAGTGTTATCTATCTGTGATGTTCTTGAAACATGAAAGTGCACGTGCGAGGGAGGAGAGATGGTCTAAGAGAGATGTATCTGTGGAGGTTTCTATTTAAGCACACGCATTCTCACTAAAAAAGGTGCATATGTAATATTCACATACCTGTTGTGGGTACGATGCCGTCGCTGCCCTCATTACAGAGGCGTGAGAGCAGGCTGGTCTTTCCAGCACCCGTCAGACCAATGCACACCACATCATACTCTGGTCTTGGCGGCGGGGGTCCTTTACAGCACAGTGCCCGGAAACACTGAAACAAAACAAGCAAATCAATGAATGTGTTGCAAAACAGAGCAAAAGCACGTGGGCTGGACAGGGTAGTGATTAACATTCTGCATTTGGAATCACAACATGTTCTGCCCTTAGAGTGGATATTCTTGAAATAAACCCTTGTGTCCCTGACTCTGCAAGAGGACTCTCGTGGGCATTACAGCTGTCTTCATATGATGAAGCAGGAAACCCTAAAAAGGGTCTGGTCTATGAAACACAGGAGCAAAAATGTTTAACCATGATCCACCAGGAAGCATTAAAAAAAGGAATGAGCAATGACAAAGAATAAAACCACAAGATCTTTGGCTTTTATGACTTAATGTAATCATGTCAAACAGAGTAAAATTCTACAAGTGATGTGAAAGGGGACTAGGAGTGTTAGATGAATGCATCCAAGCACTGATGCAACATGTTTTTGTCTGCAGTGTCTATGTGTGTGGACCCTGTCTGTCAGGGCCCTTATGGCGGCCAGAGGCAGACCTGTCACTCCATGAATCACGGCCTGGGACTGAGGGCCTGCTGTGAGACATTAAGGGGCAAATGCAGTGTGAACCGTGAATGAGATCTTTAAACTTGTGTGGAGAGATCAGTATCCAAAACTAAAAAGAGATCTCTTTTATTAGCAAGACAGGAACCAGTCTGGACAAGGCAGGACACACACACACACACACACACACACACACACACACACACACACACACACACACACACACACACACACACACACACACACACACACACACACACACACACACACACACACACACACACACACACACACACACACACACACACACACACACACAAGCTCTCTGTCTCCCATCTACTATATCACATTTCAGGTGGAAGAACATCAACACAAGATTGCTTACTGCTCTTGTCAGGGGACGACCCTGTTCAACACACTGCTACCCTGTTCAATCAAAGACTCTGACAGGAAGGAAAACACACGCACAAGTGTACATGAACGACTCCACATCTGTGCGCACATTCTCCAGGTGTGCTTGGGTATATCATTACAAATGTGTACCTTGGTGGGGAAGAGCAGATATAAACAAATGAGAGGATAAACAAACATTCAAGTATCTTTGGCAAATGTTCAGGATTTAGGTTTTAGTACAAGACAACAAGAATTCCTATAAAAAAATATATATATTTTAACTGCACCTCAATTTTTTATCTTGAGATTAATGAAATAAATTAACGAGAATATTCCTTAGAATAGTAGCAATTGCTGCAAGATACAAACACTGCGTAATTCATATAGTGGTGGAAGAAAAGAAGCAGAAAAGAGTGTTGCAGCCTCAATTCTTCCACATACCCCCAGACATCAGTGACCACCAGGGTCAGTTTTCAGAGCCGTGCCAAAACAGAGCTGCTGTTTGATGGAGATGTGGGGAATCTGCTTCAACAGAACCAGACGTCGGCTGAGCAACCCGACCCCCCCGACTCCTTGGTGAACCCGCCAGTCTGCTCAAACAGGAAACATTCTCCTCTTCCAGAAAAACGGTAAGATAAGAAACACACGCGCAGGAACACATGTAAAAACTTGGTTTGGTGAGGTCATTCTTCTCCCCTTGCCACCTCTACCTTCAACCTACGCTCCCCGAAGCAACGTGTGGAAGGTGAAATCTGCCCTTCAACCGTTAATCCCCCAAACTGACAGTTGATCTTTCAGGGGAGGCATGGGGTAAGAGCTGGACGGAAGAACTGGAGTAGCTATGAAGTTGTTATGAGTTGGATGATTGTTATTTATTCACCCCCTTATGAAAGGATTACTGGACCGATTGTACACGATAGAGAAGGGAACAGAGAAGGTTGCTGCTTCATTGGCTATGTGGGAGCAGACATGCAGGACAACTCCCACCACCTTTCCCTCCACGTACAGTGAAGATTTCACAACAGTTACCAAATGAGCATCCAGGGCCTGACCCTGGGGTCCCTACACAGTGGCCCCTGTGAGAGAGAGAGATGCAAGCTCCCACCTCTGGCCCTCTTTGACAGCACAAGATTGACGAGGAGAGGTTGCTCAAAAGGCTCACAGGAGAAAAATAAATATGTCTAAAGGCCTTTGCTTACCTCGAGACAGGCCCCTACCCTGTCAACCACACACTCAATGATCTGAGAGTCAGTGTGCTGTGTCACGGAGACTGAGAGCTCAAATGAGACGGTCGAGGATGATGACTACCCACGAAAATCTCCAAGGTATCCTGACGAACAGCTGAGATTAAAACTGGAAATTGAATACATAGTCAGAAGATCCCTAAATTTTATTGGAGTGATTTACAGTACATTCACACAAGGTGGAAGTGACTGAGTTATAAAAATATTCTCACATTTACTATGACAAAGAAGAACATATGGAGACTTATCAACTTTACTTCTTTGTTACTATTGGCTACTATTAAACTACTATGAGGACACTGAAGCCTTAAAAAGAGGACAGTCTTTAAGAAAGACAAATAAAACCTTGGAACTCCTTGCCAAAACACTGCCCATAAAAAGTCTGCCATTCCTAGACTTTATTGATTGGCTGCCTCTTATAGGATTGGACATGTTTTAATTGTGCTTCCCTGAAAGACCTGCCGAGACATTACCTCATTGTTGTTGTGAAAGCTGATTAGCTAGGCTTTATGTAAATGAGAAACACTGCTGAATATAAATATCACTTAAGACATAGCCAGGCTGCATTTTTTCATTTCTTTTCAGTCTCCTTAAAAGATGCCTGACAGAAAGAAGGAAAAAAAACAGCCCCCTAGCCTCCAATTTGAAAAAGATGTCAAGACATTTAATGGGTGACATAACTGGGCCTCCTGGCAGCAGACCAGAGCTCGAGCACACAAGAACAGAAGCTGAAGACACTACTGCTGGTCTATCAGTGGTTGTGTAAGAATAGGTCAGGGCAGCTCCATAACTCTACACATGCTGAACTTAATAGCATTTAGCCTCGTATAAAAGGATGGGGAAGCCCATATTCAGAGTGAAAAAAGGACAACAGTGGTATGAAAGGAAAATAATTACTTCTAATGTTTTCCTTTAAACAATGTCCCAAGTCATACCACACGCAATAGGATGCAGACACCACCATGAAGCCTGCTGACCTGAAGTGACCGTTTGTTGATACACATATTGTAAAAACATATTTGGAGAGTACATATATGGAAAAGGAGCTGAAAAATCTCAAGGAAAACCGTTTTGCCAATGAGTCATAATCCATCGTGTTGCAAATTCACCTGATGTAGTTGGACAGAACAGGAGCCGGGCTCTTTTTAGAAAACGACTTTGTATTTTTAGAGGTAATAAATGTGGGTTAGAGGGAAGCCACTACCACCACAGCAGACTAGTTCGTGTTTCACTCTCGTACTCTCTGGCTACAGTCGAGACACCACAGGACAGGAAAATGGGCAGTGGCATTACAGCATGTTCCAAATTGAGGTACACCAAACAAGCTGCTTAGGAACATACACAAATGCTAATAGTAATAGAAGAAGTACTGTTTATGCACAGTGCTAAAACCAGCGGGTGTGCAGCATCAACTAACGCGGTTGCTGGAATAGTCAGGGCCACCCAATAATTAATCCAATGTCTTGCACAGAAAAGATTAGCAGATTGTTGGGGATCATTAGCATCATTACATAGCATTGTGTCTGTATCCAGATGTTTGGCTACCATTATCCGTGTGTGTGTGTGTGTGTGTGTGTGTGTGTGTGTGTGTGTGTGTGTGTGTGTGTGTGTGTGTGTGTGTGTGTGTGGTATGTCAAAAAGAAAAATGTTGACCTGTAAAGGTATTCTGAAGGAAACATTTTATTGAAATATTGCAAACATGGTTTATCAGTGATCATCAGTGATTGGCCTCTAATCAGCATCATTACAGCCAATGGAAAACTTGGAAAACAGGAAGGCAGACACATAAATTGGTAAGTGCCTCCTCACCTGAACTGGGCATACAACTTGCCCACATGTTTTACTTTAGCAAAAACAAAAACAAAAACAAAAAAAAAAAGGGGGGGTAATCTGGTAACTATGGGTAAAGAAAATCTGTCACCAAAATGCAGATGTGCTGGCTACCAACAGCCATCCTACTTATTAAGTATACTTGTGTAGCATAAGGCTCAGACACACAAACCGTGTCCACTTACAGTGAAAACTAACACAGTGGGTGGTGTCCTTGCTCAACACGCCAGTGGCGTGGCACACTTCCTCTTGAAAGGTTGGTTACACATCAACTGATATGCTTGAACTGTTCGCACTCGACCCAGCGATGGTGCTAATGAGGGTAATAATGCCTGTTGAAAACTACAGTATCACATTTACCTCCAAGAAGTTCCAATAACTAGGAACACCAAAAAGCAAACCATGACTTCCTCCTTGGCTGCCAATTTACACAAGCTGGGTATCCTGATTTCCAAACAACAGTGGAGCTAGCAAAGGAAAGAAGAGAGGAGGAGGAGAAAGGGGAAAGGACATCCGAGACACTTGCCTCTGAGAGTCATACCCACAGTAGACAGACAGACACAGGACACGGATGGGCAAGCAGGCCGTTTTTATTTTTCCAGACCAAGTGTCGGGACAACACTTGTGTGCAGGGCTCACTCCTGACCTTTGGAAATGACAGTCCTTTATATGGGCGTCCCGACGGAGGAGCGGCGCTAACAGATATGTGTGTAATACACACCGGCCACAGTCATAACACAGGCCTGCAAAACCAGGGGTAAGCGGAGGGCGGGAGCGGAGAAGGGCATGTAGGAAGGCAGTCTGTCAGGGATGGAAGGAAGGGTAGAGGGGAGCCGGGGAGGTGGAGGGGTGTGCGGGCAAAGGGGGTTGGAAGGGGCACATTCATTCATCCTCATTCATCTTCTCCCCCCCTTCAGTTGTTGTTGTTATTTGCCGCTTTGAAGCTGGATGGGGGGTGCACGGTGGGACACAGTGTGGTTCAGTACAGTGAGGGAAGGGGGTGTGTGGGGCGCACTGCATGCCATT